CATGCAGTAGAATGTAGAAAGGAAAATTTTGAAATAACTCTGAGTCACTTTTAGCCATGTTGCTCTTAAGAGGAAACGATTTACCCCGAATTGTGGCCTAAAAATTGGGTAAAATGTATGGGAAGTCGAAGAGATGCTCAGCCAGGAGAACGTGCTCTTTAAATAGAGCAACCAATTTCAATACTGTGGTAGGAGTTGAATAAAGCAATGCACCGTTGAAAATGATTATTTTGTCTTTCCACAGTCCATATCGGTATCTTTTCGAACCAAACGATGCCTCGAAGGAAAATGTGTGGATTTTTTTATTTATGTTTCGAGTGAAAGATTTATTTTGCCTCTGGAAAATGTAAGCAATAATAGAAATACCAGGAACATTAAATCGCCTTTTTTCCTCTTGATAGAAATTCTACGACCAAATCTTTGAGTCGTTCAATTGAAAATATTAGATAGTTTTAGATTTACAACCGTATCATGGACTTCAAATATTACTAAAGGTCTTGTGACAAGTACCTTCACAACAGTCGAAAAAATATATCGATACAATATCAGTCTTATGCCTGAAGCGTGACGTCGTGGACTCGGCTGATCAGTCACCTGCTTTGTCTCGCCAATAAAAGAATGTTTTTGACGTCAGCAAATGACGTTTGCCTTTTTCTTACCAAAATTAAATCTAACAAGTATGTGCTCCTATTATTTGTTTTAACTTGGTTAGGGTGGCTTAATAAAAACACCTAAACCTTGACTCTGATCTTTTCTTTTTAAACCGATCGACCAGTGCCCCCCTTTTTGTATCACCCCAAGTAAGATGAAGTAAAGGGATCGATTGGATGGCCCCCCCCCTCCCCGCAAGTGATTCTGTGCCTTCTTCCCTGAGGCAGATCAAGCTATAAATTGCTGCAGAACAGGGGTAATTTTTTTCGTTTTCCAAACAAGTGAAATAAAGAGCCTCTTCTGGGCTCAAACAGGTAAAGGAGGTAAGTTTCAATTGTGGTGCTAGGTCGGTAGGGGGTATAACCTGATAATTTGGTTTTGTCAACTGAGTTGATAATGTAAATTGGCCACCGTAAAGAGTTTCTTAAGAGATTCTCTATAAACTGTGGCCCTACCTTGTCAAGATACACAAGTGAAAAAACATTCCCACGCAGGATATTTGAGCATAGGTTTGCCTTTCTAGATTCTTACAAAAAAATTATTTCAATAAAGATTAGCCTTAAATGTTTCAGCACACGGTGACGTTCGCACCAAGAAACAATGAAAAACAAGGAAAAAATTTAGACTTCCTGTAATAGTGCAATAGTTGTGGGAAAAACACCAGAGATTGTTGTACCAAGTTTTCAAGTCATTTGGTTTTTTTTTGTAATATTCAGAAATTATTTTTAGATTTCATGATTGCTTCCGCTGTCTTGTGCCCGTAGATCATCCCTTTAAAATAGAGGAGTCTAAACCCGTTTTGTCAACGCGTGATCTTTCGGCTAACTGCTGAAACTCCGGGAATATATATGATAATGAGTTTAATTGTAGTTTGGCTGATGCGCTTCAACGGAGATGATGACCTTTTTAAGATGCAAAAGGCTATTGAGTTATGAAATAACAACAGCGACGAAATGTTGGAGTTTGATTCCAAGCTGTACTTCCGAGTGGCTTACTTAGCTTTTCTTATTCCTCTAGGTTCTGGTGAGTTCTCTGTCATTTGTAATCTGAGCATACGAGTTAAGATCTGCTCGAATTCACCGATTGTTTTTTTTCGCAGTGACTCCATACATATGAGATGATTGAATTCCATTTCATTGTGTTCGATTGACAAACTGTCGAATCCGACCGAAAAATGTCAAGTTAATTCAATTATCTTCTTTAAAGCCTAAACATCTGACAAGTTATTTTATTCTGGTAGAATGAGTTTGGGAGAATTCTAGTTGCGATTTTCAAACCTATCTCGCATAGTATGAGTTTCTTCCTGTTCAGAGGTGACAACGTCCCACCGACTGACTTCGTCGCTCGTCTTTTCTTTGTTCCGTAAGAGCAAAACCTTCTCTACTTGGTTTCACGATATTTATGAAGTGGTAACTTGAAAGTGATCTAAACTTTTGTCGGAACACAAAACTAGCTCGCTTGGTTATCGATAAGAATATGACGGTCTCTTGATTAAACGGTCATAACTCTAAGAGAGGCATCTTTGAAAGCTATGATTATATGAGGAGTAGTTTAGAATTTCAATGATTTCGATTGCTTTCCTATACTTTTACTTCAAATAGTTTCTGCAAGATATCGAGCCTTTGCTTGAATTTACGAGTTTTCTAATTTCTTGAACACAAAGTTGTGTCATTATGCAAATCTGGCGCTTATTTTAAGTTTTCATTTTAGTGTGCAAACTAGTTCGATACATTTACTGCCATTTAGCTTCTGCTGAAGGTAAAGAGGATACAAAGACGATTATTCAGTAAACCAGCGCGAGCCTAATCAAAAGGACAGAGAACTTCAAGAACAATGTAAACTGAAAGTCTCAATGATCTTAATAGGTTTTTCATGACTTGGCGTATTAATGTCGACTATTGTTTTAACAAATGAGCAGGTAAACACGGCCGAAGACAACTGTCTAACCAAGCGTTGGAATGAAGACAACTTCATCATTTTATTCAAACACTACACCATAATCAAATAGAAAATACAGTTTAAGTTGACTAAAGAATGAACTCAGCTCGTCTCAGACGTAGGTGTTTAAGTATTCGATGTATATTCATGAGACACGACACGAAACAACTACTAAATAACCAATCATAATGTGTTAATAGACATTTCATTCGTCTTAACTCATAGAATTTTCTTCAACGCCGAAAAACTGAGATTAGCAGAGACCTTTCATGAAAATCCCGAGTCAAGGTATAGCTCTGAAACAACATTAAAGTGACGTGTTGCGTGTTAAGAGGGTCACAAAAAATATCTCGAAAGATGTTCTTAAAGAAGGACCATAACCAAAATTTGCATTCTAAAGTGAAATTTTGAAATGTGTCAAATTAAAAATGTTCTGGGATAATACTAGGTTCAGTAAATAATAGGGCACACTCCACCGATCGCTAGTCCAATCGATGATGTCATCGATAAATGTATCATGTTAAATCGACAGAATGTTACTAGAACAATACCGTAGACCGTATGGTTGTTGTAACACTAAGGGCCTGTTTACAAGAAAGTGGGGAGCCCCAGGGAATTGAGGTAACCCGCCTAGCTTTGGTTAGAAAATAGACCGTGTTTACACCCAATCCTACAACCCCGGGATCCTGGGAGTGAGGTTGTTGGACAACGTGTGAAGGGTGCGCAATGCCGCTACCAGAAACTGGGATCATTTACACTCCTTTCACGGTTCACGATGAGCAAATGAAAACAGGATTTAGCCCATGGAATTTGGGAATAAATGACTACAAAGTGCACTCGCACTACGGAGTTTACCTTTGTTAGCCTTTGAAAAACTCTCAAAACCATGTGAATACTATTTTTATTTATCACGTGACTAACTTTGCACGCTGGGTTATTTTCCCGCCAAAACCCAAGGTCGTGGCATGGTTACTAAGCATGCCACAGTCAACATGGAGGACAGTAATCTCACTTTTAGACCAAGTTACTACGTGTGTTCTATAACTAAAACGATCATAAAACTCCTAGGTACCCAGGTAAATAACTAGTTATTTTTCGGGCTGAACATATCCTGAAGAAATGGTATCGATAGTAGAAATGTCGTACGAGATAGTTGTTGTTTTTGTGTCTGTGAAGCAAATGACCTCAATTTCTGGGGATATCTAGATTTTCCTGTCCGTGTAAAGTACAAATTAGAAGAGTCAGAACCTTGTTAGAAATACACATCTTGGCAGCAACAATGAAGCAAATATATTTTCTTGCAATCAAAAACTCAAAACGAAATCTACCCACGATTATTCAATTAGCTTGAGCCAATATGGTTTTATGTCTAATTTTATAACTGTCTGTTTTATCTTTTAACTTTTTTATAGGGGTATGTATCGATTTGGATCTTGGTTTGGAAAATGAGAGAATTTCAGATGGTAACATAACTGCTTCTTCGGTACAAAATGCCAACACACCAGCCAAGAATGGTAGACTGAATTACACATCAGGATCATCATGGTGTGCAGGAACAAGTGACACTAACCCATATCTACAGATTGATCTACAGACACTTCATATCATCTGTGCTGTGTCTACTCAAGGGAATTCTCAAGCAGATCAGTGGGTGAAGACCTACACTCTACAATTTTCCATAAATGGGACAACTTGGACAGACTACAAGGAAGGTGGACAAGTTAAGGTGCAATGTTTTTCTGAGTAATAACAATTTGAGTACAAAAATACAACTTGTTTTACATGTATTTCATGTAATGATAAATACATGAACATTGTGCTTACAAATCAGTATTTTTTGTTCTAACATAGGCTGCCTTTTGTAACAATCTCATTTTTTCTTAACCTAGTCACCAATTTACTTGAAGCCTACAGTAATTTTCATCATGTATCTGTAATATTATTCAATGTTGTCACTTTTTAAAATCTTAGGTCTTCATGGGGAATTATGACAGAAACTCAGTGGTGAAGCATGTTTTTTATGGACTGCTGACAAGATATCTGCGTTTCCTGCCACAAACACACCAGGGTTTGGTGTGTCTGAGAACAGAGGTGTTTGGAGTGAAACAAAAGCCAGGTATATGTGCAGGCATGATAATATTACATAAACAAAGGAGATCCAATGTACACATTTGTCATATTGCTGGCAGTGCATGTGGGCAATATGAAGTGAATCCTATGTTCTGATTGGCAACCTAAGTGGGCGAGATGATCCAATCTTGCCCACTCAGGATTTCTCTCTTTAATCCTGTGCAAGAAAGAGTGGACTTATAAAGTTAGTAACTTTCACATAATGTCAGTGATAAAGTTGCAAAAAGCAGCAGAATATAGTCAAAACCAACCTTTTTGGGTTTATTGTGCCACGAATACAGTTAGCCTTTTCTCCTGGCTCTCAAAATAAACTAGTCATTCTTGATTCTTATTAAAGCAAAAACAATGTTTAGTTATATAATAAATCCTTTTTTATTGATCAGGCTGGTTAAGTTAAGATGGCTGAATATTAACTTGGTTGTTTTTTCCATTTTTATAGACCTTTACTTTGTCTTGGTCAATAAAATTATGAAAAATGGAACTTGGCCAGTATACAGCCATCTTGACTTCACACTTGGTCAATAACCCATATGTATATGTAGATTTTATATTCTGGTATTCTTTGATACTTTTAGAAAGGATTTGCTTGCTTAGCAAGTTCACTGTTCAAAACTAAGTTTCTTTGAGATTATCTTTGTGGAAGGTTTTGTCAGTGTTAAGTGAAATATAGACAAACAAAGGCTTGACAAATTGTAGTATGTTGCAATTGTTAAATCAACTGAATAACTAAACAAAAGGTAGTCATTTTATAACAGAAGTGAGGAAATGATAGAAATAGCTTTAATCTGAAATGGGTAATTCATAAGCTATTGTGGGATTGAACTCTAACATGAAACTAATTGGCACAAATATCTCCTACATGACACTATTTGGTTCAGAGAAGTGTAGGTACAGTACAACTACACATAACAAAAAAGGTGTGGAAGGAAAGCTAAGAAGTTAGGAAAGTAACTACATAACTCTTTTTCTTTTGTTTTACAATATCTTGAGTGGAACCACTCTGTTACAATGGTAAGTTTTTCCTGGCCCATGTGGTAACATTTTCTTCAATATCTGTTCACAGAGAACCTTGCCCTGAGGAAGGCTACAGCTCAGTCTTCAACATTCAACAATACTGCTGACAATGTTTATGGTGTATCTGGAAACGCAGTGGATGGAAATCCTGACACTAACTTTTTAAAAGGGAGCTGTTCACATACAACAAAAGAAAACCCCAGTTGGTGGAGAGTGGACCTGGGTTCAGACCATGTTGATGTCTCTGAAATTCATATAGTCAACAGGTTCTCACAGTATGTGGTTACTGAAGACTACAAAATAACATTTGGTGAGTTTTGTTATCCTTTAATTGAATGTAAGGTCAACCATGCATACATCACCTTATAATCAGCTGCTAAACAACAGGCCAGTTTGGATGTTACAGGAATTTTTGAAACCTTGGCTAAGCTGTATTGACCTTGTTATTAATCAGCCCAGATGTTTTGATCTTGTAATTGCTCAGTCAATACAGGGCAATCAGTTTAAGATTTTCCGGCAAGGATCTTACTCTTGGTTACTCATAGAGTTCAGTTAGTACATGTAAATGGGACTGGAGTACTAGAACTAGGGTACTCAAGTGTCATCATTTGTCTACACTGTACCTTCACATGGGACACTCAGAAGTTTACCTCCAGTAATAATTTTTTTACCTGGCCACTCTGTTAAGGCTATTATGACACTAAAAAATTAATGCAATTAAATCCTTGTTTTGGCAGTTTTAATTTCTTTTTAATATGCCAAATAACATTTCCAGGATGTTTACTTTGTTAAAGAATCTATTACAAATTGATCATGTTTGCCACATGGAACCAAACTCTACTAGTAATTCTGACTTTCAGTGCCTCATAATCTGCAGGTAGCTCTCCTAATGTTGTAGGCAACACCCCCTGTGGAGGACTCTATGATTTTCATAACTTCACTGCATCAGCTGTTTGTTTTACCAATCCACTGAAAACTGGTAGATATGTAGGGATTTTAACCACAAAGAAACAAAGTCTTCAGCTGTGTGAGGTAGAAGTCTATTCACGAGGTAACTTTTCACTTACTCTTTATACTAAACTTAATGTAGTGGTGAAGTCACTTTTCCTCTTTTGAAAATTGACTCATCCAAGACTTTTTTATATATCTCAAAACATATACATATTCATGTAGTTTGAATATACTTATGTTTGCATGTTTAATGTGCAAACTGTATTTACCATAATTACTACAGCCAAAAGTCACACTGAATTTTAAGTAGCACAAAAGCCTTGAAAAGTACACCTGATTTTATAATTATATTGATAAACAATTGAATGTAATCAAAAGTAGATAAATCAACAAGTGCCATTGGAATATGTTCTTGTAGAGTGGATAAATCAAGACTCTTGTTTAATCTCACAGAAACCCTTTAACCATAAAGATCTTAGAAAAGTTTTGTTGGGAATTATTTTATAGTCATGCTTGTGAGAAATGTCTTTTGATAAGTAATTTAAATATAGGTTTATTTGCTATTTGAATATATTATATATATTACAACACTTTTCCCTTCTTGATATTTGGGTCTCAAAATTTACCTTTGAATTCAGTTGCCTTATTAAGTGTTGAAGAATGGTACAGTTTATCTTCCAGTATGTCAGCAATTTTAAATCTTCAATCAATGAAGCTAGCAATATAAGTATGTCTCTATTAATTTTCAAGTTAATGATGACCAGTAGAATATGTATAGTATTACATTGTAGCTTAAGAATGGAGTCTGTACTAAGTAGAAAAAATGATATAATTACAGTGGAGGTATTTTTTTAATTTGAAAATTTAGACCTACACCTGTACATGATTTTTTCCCTACATCAAAATTATTGCAGTTTGGTGTCTTTTGCTTTCTAGCTTTTTGGCAAAGGCTGGTATATCTGTAGGCTGTCCAAAATGTAATATCTACAATTAACCAGTTTTTTAAAAATACTCTTTGTTTTAATTTTTCCATATAATGTACAGTGTAACAAACATATTCATTACAACTCAATACAACTGTCATTCAGTGATCAGTATGTAGACAGTGATCATCTTTGTCCAGGGAAACATTTCCTTTTCTTTTGTCTACATTTTCTCCCAGAAAATCTGGCATTTCAAAAACCAACATATCAGCACTCATATGCAGTAAGTGGTGGCACAAGTGAGAAAGCAGTTGATGGAAATAGCAATATGAACTTTGCGGATGGATCATGTACATTTGGGGGACATTTAAATTTTCCATGGTGGAGAGTGGATCTAGGACAGGATGAGTTTGTGACTGAAGTGTATCTAGTCAATATAAAAGCCCAGACTCGCCTATCAAAATTTGAGATCAGAGTTGGTAGGTTAATACACATACAGTAACTAATATTTTTGAAGTGGTCAAAGCACTCTTTGCTTAATGTCTTCAAGAAAAGAGGGGGAAATGGTACACTGTGGTTTCTGGCATTGAGAAAAGCTGGATTGGACTGGATTGGATCACAGACAGGATCATGGAACAAATCACAGCAGGAGCTCATTATTCGAAGCTTCTATCTTCCATACTTACCCTCTGAGTCAACCTTGTTCGGTATCTTTTTATTTTTAGAAGCACCTCCTATGGGGTTTTTTGCAGGTGTTTACATAGTAGCCAATCATAAGAGAGCTGTGGTCCTCTTTTGTTTGTGTCACATGCAAGTTGCATGAAAGTATTTCAATAATGGAAAAAAGCATGCAAATTTTTACCATTTTTTTTTAGGGTGTTATGCGAACATCAGCATGTTTTCGCAGGAAATTAAAGAACCTCCCAAGTATCTCAGTTCAAAAAATAAAAAGATATGGGACAGGGTTGACTCAAGGGTACAATTGGTTTGGAGGCTCCAGGTAATGGGCTCCTGATCACAGGTCACATAATGGGTTGCATCACTGGTCAGACTGAAAAAAAAATTTTGAAAAATAAAAAAACATACATATATAATTGTTTTTGAAATAAAAATAAATAAAAAATAGGATTGAAATACTAAAATATGTTGATTTAAATTAGAAATGTAATGTGACAAGCTTAAGCCTGAGTGAAATCTGCATGATATCAATAATTGCTTTACATGTAAATTACTCACATGCACTTCAGCTGTCATATCTAAACCATTTTTTCTCCTCACCTCACCTCTTCACTCACTCATGAGATGATATTCACAATAACCGACTGGTGAAATGATACGTACCTCTCACTTGCCTTCATCCATTGTGGCACTTCACAAAACTCCTTGACACAGCCGTGAAAGTGACTACATAGAGTTTTGGGGCAGAAAAACTTCCAGTGGGGTTTGCACTTCATTATGTCATGCAGACTTTATTTTGAGGTAAATTGCTATTATTAACAAGTTGATAGAGTTAATTGGCCACCATTAAGTGTTAGCCCTTTGTCAGAGGGAAACAGTCCATCGTCATTCACTCTGATGAAGGGCCAATGCTCATCTTTGAAGATCTTAACAGTGGCCAATTTAAACACATTATAAATTCAGTTGATAATGCCAAATAACCTTGTTATACTCTCCCACTAACATAGCACCAATCCGTGATCAGACCCATGATGCAACTTGTGATGCCACACATGATCCAACCCTTGATCTGACACCCGTTCCAATCTGTAATCTAATCCATGATCTGATCCAGTCTGATCCAGTACGATCCAGTACGATCCTAGTATTGTTGATGCTGCTGTGGTTTCCACATTCTTGTCAACCCTCAGCCACAACTATTTCTGTATATACATGTATCATATAATTGCTGTTAGGTTTAGATGTTGGTGTTTTGATTTGACAGTTGTTCACTAACATACCCACACAAGGTTGTGCCCTATGGGTGCCTGGTTGCCAAAAGGAACTGAGTTTTAGCTTCAGGGAACTGAAAAACATTGCCATTTTGCTGAGCAAGGTGGCTGACTGTGCTCTTTTTACTTTGTTTTCAGGTTGGATGTATGATTATGCTCATTGGCTAAAATTATAATTTTTTTTATTGTTCCACATGATTTAACAGTAAAATTAATGTGAAAAATGAATCTCTGAGAAATGGCACAAATGTAAATTTGTGTTATTGTTTGATTAAATGTAATACTTTATAATCCATTTTTATGCTTTTGATTCAAATCACTCATACATTTACCAGTCTTTGAATGAACTATAGTTTACAAAAGTTTTCCTCTGTGTAAATTAGTCATATTTTCTTGTCACTTGATATATTGTCTTTACTGAGTTTTGTGGCCCATACACAGTTTGTTATATTTTTCCTGATTAAACTCAGTGATGATGGAATGGCTGCTGCCAAATGACAGCAAGGAGGAATCTTTATAATTTTAAGGAACAGGAGCAGTTTTGATAGTTGAGGGGCTACATTGAAATTTAAGTGGGAGCCCAGTCTTGATGATGTGTAAAATAACTGTCAGAAAATCATCATTATTGGCAGGGATTAGCTTATTACAAATAATAATACTAATAGCAGTATCTATTTTTGATAATTGGCTTGTATTACTTAGCATCATGCCCTTGCTATGCATAACTTTCATGAGTCAGTCTAGCCTACACACTAGAAAAAGGGCAGCTTTTATTAAGGCAAAAGGTCACCAGGGAGGTAAATCTTGCTTGTTTTGAAAATGAATATCTCTATTTGATCAGTATATGGATTATTTTGCAGTCATCTCTTAGAAGTTGTTTGTACTTTTTAAAAGTGATTTATTATTATGGTATTCTTTCAGGCACAGTATCAAGTATTACTGATACTAGCATGACTAGTCCCAAATGTGGTCAGGCAGCTACTCATTACCTTCCTCAAGCAGTAGGTTTGTCATTCTTCTGCCGTCCAAGTTTGAAAGGAAGATATGTTACCATCAGGGACCTTAGAGGAGGTCAATCGGGATTCAATCTTTGTGAAGTTGAAGTGTATTCAGAACAAAGAGGTATGGCATATCTGGATATTTTGAATAACTACTATTAACTGCTAACTTACTGAGTTGGGGTTCCAATCTGCATTCTCAGGAAAATTTGCCATTTAATTTCTGTATGTAGACATGTAGGTACTTCAATATTGTTAAATAAATGTAAACTGGTTGCGTTTAGTAGATAGGTATGATAGTTTGGTTTAAAAGTTGATATATATACATGTACATGTATAAATGTGTGTTGTGACCTATTTAAACATAAATGCTACAAATTAAAAATGTGGCCCTTCGTGAAACTTTTATTATTAACCTGTAAATCAATAGTAAAGAATAATGGAGTGGTTGTGTAGTTAGCTGATGGTGTAAGAAGACCACATGACATAAATATTTCAGTAGTTAAGAGTGATCTATGTTCATGAACTGGCAATTTGTAAGAATCCTGTAATATAGTGTGTTATTCTGGCAACTAGAAATTCCTGATGGCTTTTTTTCTTCAATTAGAGGCCAAAAGGTGACAAAGTTAATTAATTTTTTAAATTTTTTTAGCCTTGAGTTTTCACTGAAGAAGAACTTACAGTTCTTTACACAAACTACCTCAAATCACTAGTAAAATCACTTGAGGTGTGTTTACATGGTGCAGCACTCTTGTGATTGTTACTGTACATGTATGATATACCAGCACTGATTCTCTGGGTTGAAACCACAGTTTATGGTAATTATGATTGTCTTTTAACAGCATGTCATAGTCAGGCAATTGGTGTGACCAGCAGTGATGCAATTCCAGATGGCAGCTTCTCAGCCTCATCAAAAGTTAATAATGACCGTGGACCTTCAGCTGGTCGTCTGAATGGAAATAACCGGGGTTGGGCACCAAAAACTAATACTAATCACACTGACTACCTACAAATTGACCTGCAGTATGATTATGTTATCTGTGCTGTAGCCACTCAAGGATCTTTCAATAATGATCAGTGGATAACAAAGTACAAGATTAAATTATCATTGGATGGTGTCACCTTTAACACATATAAAGAAAACAACACTGAGAAGGTCAGTTTGATATTAATGAAACATCATGCTAAACTTGCTTGAATTTTTTTCTCATTTTTTGATATTTTGTTCATGTAGTTTCATAAAAATATACTTAACAGGTAATTTAGTGTTAGTAACTGGGTTTAAAACATAAATTGGCCACCATAGAGGGTTAAAAGGCAATTTTATGTTTTCAACTTAGTTGTTAACACTAAATTACCTGCTATACTCTCCCATGGACGCAGTACCACAGTTTCTTTAGAAAACCCCCTGCAAAAATACACTCTGTCAAGCCTAATTTTATAGGCAGAAGAATTATAGACAGTTATGGGAGAGCATTTTGGTATGTGTAAATTTGAATCAGTTTTATGACCAGGTCAAGTATAGGTGGAAATGAGTGAAAAATCTGACATGAGCTTCATAGGTCATGTCTTTCAGGCTTTGAAATGCTTATTTTTTAAGGCATAATGTAGTCCAGTGTATGATAACCCACTAACATGGAATGTTGGTGTGGCTTGCAGCTCTGATTTGAAGTGACTCATTTTGCTTGATCAAATGATTTGAAACTATTTTTGTTAGAATTAGAGCTGTAGATTATCCTCTTTCATCACTTTTTATGGTGATGGTGTTTGCTACATTTTTATTGGTTGGTTGTAGGCTTATTGATAATTCAAAGCCAAGGAAAACTGCTGTCACTTGTGCACGGAAAGTTGAAATTTTCTTTTGAAGTGAATAAACATGTCAGTGTCTATAACTGTTCATTTTCATTGATATCTTAATATTTTAGGTCTTTAATGGAAACTCTGGGAGAAATGACATAGTAAAACATGGTCTGAGGGAATATACTTTGGCAAGGTTCATCCGTTTTGTGCCAACAGATTATCATGGTTATAAGACATTGAGAGTGGAAGTTTATGGAGTTCTTTTATCTACAGGTACCAATTCTATTTTCTCTGTACCATAAATTATCATTGAAATCCTACAAGTGTTGCAAAAAAGTGGAAGGGAGTATTATGACTCACCTTACTTAAAATGTTACATAAAATCTCATAGCCTATACTGATACCATGCTGTAGAAAATATAGCCAGTCAGAATTCAGGAATTCATTGTATATTTGATGGTATTGCACCCACTCATGTTCAGGTAATGACATTAAATACAAGTGACTTGTGGGATATTCAATAGTATACTACTTGGCATTACCAATACTGATACCATGCCACAGAAAATATAGTCAATCAGAATTCAGGAATTCATTGTATATTTGATAGTATTGTGCCCACTCCTCTTATTGCGTGCTGTGATCTTATTCCTGCCAAAATCAAGCACGCAATGCCACTTCTAGTGTATTTCAAGTGCTGTTTGAGCCATGTCAGAGCCAAATTCTTCCCTCAACATTAATGTTCAGGTAATGACAGACTATGAGTGACTTGTGGTATAAATTATTTCATGATATACCACTCAGCATTACATAACTGGTATATATTTGAGTGATATATGTATATGTTCAGTGTATATAATCATATTTGTAAGTTATCCCCTTCAGAAATCAGATTACCACTTAGTCACTCCCTAAATGGCACTCATTAAATCCACTGAGGATGAATGAAGTCACTGAGGTTCACCTGATGTCAGACTTGAAAGAGCTTGAAATTCCGAGTTGCAAAGTTTTAGGGAGGACATAACCACTGTGATAGTACTGAAGTAACGCTTTATTAATATTAACAACTTTCATCTGTGTTGACCAATACAGTTCCTTTATAGGCACATGACCATCGTGAAAATATAATTAAAATACCTTATAATCATTTTTATTCAACATTCCAGTTCCATCACAAGCTCCAGGCAACTTCACTGTGACTGCAATCTCATCTACTAGTATAAAAGTATCATGGACATCACTGCCACAATATGCCAGACATGGAGATATAACAGGTTATAAGTTGTTTTACAGACAGAAGGGCTCAGTGGACAATTTAGTCATGGAGTCTGTTGCTGGAGCAGCAACATTAACTAAAGATTTCACTAATCTTAACAAGTACACCAAATATGAATTTCAAGTGTTGGCTGTTGGATCTCGTGGTGAGGGACCCAAAAGTTCTGTAAAGGTTGAGCAGACTTTGGAAGATGGTAAGAGACTAAAACTGAACAGTGTAGGTTGTAAGAAATATTTTACTCAAAAACATAATTATAGCTTATTTGAATAAGACTGGAACATAATAGTATATCTTGGCAGGTTTAGAGTTATGATATGATGCAGGATATGATATGAGAGTTAAGTTATCATTATCATTTTTATTATTATTATTATTGTTAGCAGTAGTAGTAGTATTAGTATAATGAATTTTGAATGAATGATGAAATTTGAATGAATGAATTTTATTTCAGTCCATTTTAAATATTGACCTTCATCTTCCATTTCTTTGTTACTTTAGCACCAACCATTCCTTCAAACCTTTCGCAGTCTGAGATAATGCCAGATAAACAAGTTGGTCCCAAGATAAAGCTCACCTGGTATAAGCCAGCAGAAGAAAATGGGATTATTAGGAGTTACACTGTGTTTTATAGTCACAATGAAGATCCTCATAATATTCACAATAAAACATTAAAACAAAACGTGTTCAGTTACACAGTAGATGTGTTAGGTGGGGCCATCTATCAGTTCCATGTCAGAGCTGCTACGATCAAACCTGGACCAAATGCAACCTTGTCTGTTGCTGTTAATGATTATGGTAGGTGTAAATCATAAAACATTATGATCAATAGGCCAGTTTTGATATACTAAAGTTCTAACATGGCTGCAAGGCTAGGGGGAATAAAACAAAAGAAACTTATTATTCGTTCCTTAACCTCGATGTGATTTCCTTTGTTTTATTCCCCTAACCCTTGGTGCCAAGTTTGAATTTTAATACATTGAAAATGGCCCATTAATTTTACTTTCAACTTTAATGCTATTTGATAAGTGTAGGCGGTAAATGATATCAAGGTAGACAAGTTGAGAACAGCTGCACTATAGGAGTGGTACAGGAAGGACTCTCCTTATCAACTCCAAGTGCTTTCCAATGTAGTATTGAAGGACTGGTGAACATGATTAGTCAACATGAATGACTACATACCTAAAAAAAATAAAAATGTGGTTAAGGGGAAAGGAGGGAAGAATTACTGAAATACAATTCAGGTAAACTTTGAGTATAAAGTTTTGATGAAATATGATGTAGAAATATTATTTGTTAAATTTTTTGTTCTATGACAGACAGCTGACTATCTATCTGAATTGATATATATTTTGATTCCCTACTTTCAGAACCTGGTGTAGCACCAAAGGATGTGTCTTTCAGTATACTGAACCAAACAACCTTCAATATTTCATGGTCACCTCTGACAAGAAAAGAGAGTTATAGCAAAGTTATCTCATATGAGGTCAAGACATCATTGGTGTCTTCTGGAAGTCGACAAAAGAGATCTCCAGCCAACAGCAAAACTGTTAACACAACAAAAGCATTTGTTATCCTGTATGATATTCAGCCTTGTTCCAATGTGTATGTCCGAGCATACACTAAAGCTGGCCCTGGACCATATGGTCAACCCTTACCTCTGGAATTGAGTAAGTTTCATTTTTTTCCACATATTAAATGTAGAGAATGCAAAATTTTGCTTCAAAGTCATTAATTTAGACCGTATAGCTGTCTTTGGTTGTAGCTTAATTTGGCTAATAACCAGGAAATTGATTAATTGAATAGGGAGTGATATCCAAAATGCACCCCTTAGTGTACTCAGGGAAACAAGTTTCAATGTTTCCCATACCTTCTTCATTGCAATTAGCTGTACATTTTTTTCACATTCACATTATTTAATTTATTCTTATTACAACATGGACTATTTGTACAAATTAAAAACCATAGAAAAATAGGAAATTAGTAGAAGTACATTTACTGAATACACAAAAGAAGAAACTTACTCTGGAATCTAAAAAAGCTATGTTACTTACATTGTTTTTATTCGTAAGATGTACCAAAGGCACCCAACAACCTGAGGGCAACAGACTCCCAGTCAACAAAGATGACACTGGAATGGGAAAGACCCCAACCTGCTATGGGAGAAAAGTGGAAGGTAAAATTCTTAATTTTTAAGTCTACTTTGCTGTAAAAACATGAATTTGACAAATTTTAATACAACTCTTTTAAGTTGAGAATCAGAAACTATTATTTTTGTGATTTTTGTAATTCCTTACTTAAAGAGTGTTTTTAAAGAAGAACAGACGGAAGTGACTTCTGTCGTAATGAGTATAATGCATAAGTGTAGTAGAGTACTGGTACCATCAGTATGACTACCATGTAAGAGCAGCCACTGTAATGTACTGTAATAAGTGAGGGGAGTTATATGTACATGCACAGCTGTATGTTGTTTTGCATGTACATGCTACAACTCCTTTAAAGAATAAGGTTTTTTTGTTTTGTGCTGCGATCATGAAAATGCACGTCCATGTGAGATTTTATTCGTAAATAAATTAGTGCAGGTGTGGTATTTACTGTATCTGCATTTGACTCAATTGTTTGATTGTTAAGGTTGAGTACTCTGGGAAAAAGTCTTACAACAACAGCTTTTCACACGAAGGCAGCAAAGATGTACAGGGAACAACAAAATATACCCTTGATAATTTGGTACCGGGTACCAAATATGACCTTCGGGTGTATGGAATCTCAAAATGTGGAAACAAAGGACTCCCTTCATCTTTGGAAGTAGAAACAAAAATAGGAGGTAAGCAATAACATGCAGGTAACCGTTTGACCCCCAAGAGTGACTAACATCTAATTTCTCCTTACAATATCACCCCTGAATCACACAATGTGGTCACAAGAATAAAGGAAATGATCACCTACTAAAGTAGCTTCTGATTGTTGAACAAATCCTCCTTATTAGCGCCTTAGGAAATATATGGGATCAGTATGGAGAATATGCATCTTGAAATTGATGTAAAAATTTTGCGAATCATGTTATTATATTTGTTTTCTTCCCAGAGCCATTGGCTCCAGTTGTACTATCACTGACCACCAGGAAGGTCGCTGAGTCGCAGGCTGAAATTGAACTTTGGCCTGCAGAACAAAGGAATGGTCCAATAAGGTGACTGTTATTTCAATAATATTTTAGGTCTTGTACATGTAAACTCTTTGTTCTTAATGTTTCATTGATCTTTGTGACGCTTGATCCGAATAATTTTTGTTAATATACACCACTCCGGTGAATAGGGCCTCTGCACGCACTGATTGGCTAGTTGGGAAGTGAATAATCAAGAGTTTTATTTCCGACCTTTTTTCGGTATCCTAAAAGAAATAAACTTGTTTTTCGTATTTGTGTGTTATATACTAGCACAAGTATTCACGTCAGTGTCGGTGAAAGTGGTGGATATTTGCCTCCACTTTGGCGAATAATTGTTAATAATTGTTTTTCAATATTCTAGTGCTTATCAAGTCATTGTTCTGAGAGTTGTTGATGGTGTTGAGGAGCTTCCCGCTGATTATAAATCACAGCTGGATGGTTCAAACAAAGACGGATTGAGCTTTTATGTTGCTGCTGAGATAGAAAACAGTCCAGCATATGAGAAGTCTTGGAAGTTTACCATTGGTGACGGAAATTCATATGGACGTTTTGTAAACAAAGAACTTAAGAGAGGAGATGACTATATTGTTTACCAGAGAGCCATAACAGAAGGCAATAGTGTAAGTAACTTTAGATAATTATGAACTGCACTACATGTATATAAAGCAGTATCCAATTGTGTCTAAAAGCCAATCTGATTGGTTGAAAAAGGTGGCGCGAATTGACAGTCTTTGGTTTTCTAAAAGACAAATTTGTTACTTCTGTCGCAAAAGAAGTTTGATACTAATTGCCATGAATTTGATGTCCTTTCTAGTACGTTTATGGAGAGGTCAGCAAAGTCGCTAAGATTTCTGTTGAAGCAGGTAAAAGTTACTTTTCTTAATGTTGCTTACGTTATGACGTTATTTCATAAGAAAGGAAATATTTTTTATAGAGCTTGTGGCAAATTTCACAGAGTTCTGTTCTTTGTTTCAGTCGGAACATGTTCACTTGTCAGTTAATGGTAAGAATTGGCTATCTGTGACATCGCATCTTATTTTTGCTGGTAATGTTTCTCGCAGTCAGAGTGCGAACCGGTCTGGAGAAAAAACGTGGAAAACGAGATTATATGAATAAAAGTGCATAATATTTCAAGCATTTATAGTTTTTTCCCCGTGGTTTTCGAGTCTGAGACGAGGAAAGTCGCGAAAAGTGATTTACAAAATTTTTTCTTTTATGGGCAAGCCGAGAGAAAAAAAACAATTATAATTGATGTTTTTTAAACATTAGTTCCCGATAAAGGGTAGTGATCCAAAGTCTCAAGATACACACTTTATTTGGAAAAGAAGAAGAAAAAGGAATTGAAAATAATGTTTATCATCAATGTAGTAACAATTCTCCGTATAACTTTGAGTTTACTTCAGAGTAGTTCTTTCAAAAGTGAATGTTTTTATATTTTATTTTATTTTTCAGTGGTAGGAGAAAATGACAAATCCGAGGGTTCTGGTCCAAACGCCGCAGCTGTTGCTGTACCTGTGGTGTTGTTGCTACTCCTTATTCCAGCAGTTGTTGTTGCAGTGTTCTTTTACCGAAGGTGAGTTAGTACCGCTAGAAAAAGGTATACAAGGTGTAGTTTTTCCGTCAAAAGGGAAAAAGGTAAAATAGAAAGGTTCATATTACGACTAAAATTCCCTCTCACAGTATACTTCTTTACTTCACTCTTCCTCTCGTTACTCACCTTACACTTTCGACATTGCTGTTCCCAGCAATATGCAGGACGCTTATCACATATGAAGCTAATTGTGACTCATCTTATGTACCTTTGAGTTCTTTCTATCGCAGAGGTAGAGCATCGGAGCGTAAATCTGGAGTTCACTTCCTAGAGGGGGATCTGGTTAACAGTTATAACCTATGTTGCCGTGTGTCGTTCAGTAATAAATCACAGATGACATCAAAATGTGGTAAAAACGAAAAAGTGGTATTCGAGGCGCAACCAAGCGTGTCACTGATGTTCTTCCACACTTTGACGTCATCTGTGATCTATTCCAGATGAGACTCATGGCAGCATGGAATCTATTTGTTTTATATGATAACAAATCAGAATGTTGTTAATGTTGACGTCATCTCCTCGTCTGTCCTCCAACAGATCATAAGAACCAATCAAAAGGCGTTCATGATTCAGCTTATATAATTTTTACGATACTCCACGTTCGTGACAAAAACCAACCACACCTTTCGTTATCCTTCTTTAAAAAAAAAAAACAAATAGGAGGAAGCAATCACGACAGGCGAGTGATAAGCGCGAGTTTTCAGTTACACTAAATGACGTCCAGAATAGTCCAGTTCCTGGCTCAACCGGAGCAGTTTATGAAAACCTGAATTTTCGCGCTGGCCAAGAACAACAACAAGGTATGATAAACGTTTAACTCGGTGACGTGCCCCTTGTGTGGTTTATGTCATCAGAAACTGAATCCTAGGAACACCCTTTTGTGATCAAACCTTCTGCTTAGGTAAGGTGTTTAGTTATGGACGAATGCAAAACTTTTAACAGGTTTGGTATACTTCGACGTCTCTAACACCCTCCACACCCCTCTATTTTGCTTTTTATTTCCCTTTAATCTTCCTGCCTTCGTTATTGCCAATCCTAGCATTATGCCAGGACGTTTGTCACACCTGAATGAACACTAGCTCACCATAGAGTTCTGTGCTGGTCAGTGGTAGAGCTTTAGGGCGCAGAATCTGAGCGCCCCAAGTTTGATTCCTCATGGGGATTAGACTCTGTTTCTTTCTTCCGTGACTAAACGAAAAAACATCTTTCTTTACGAAGTCTCCCTCGTGATTTCTAAGATCTGATCTTTCACGCGAAACTATTACCAAATCCAGTGACACTATTACTCAAGCTCAGTGACTGGTTTAACTCTTTACTCCCACGATTGAATTGGTAATTCTCCCTACTCACTGCTATACATTTCCTTGGAGATATAGAGCTGTGAATTTTGAGGTTTATCAAGATGAAACCCTCCAGCTGATAAACTTGTTTATCCTTAAAACCTGTCAGCAAGATAACATATTTGAATCGCTTGGAAAAATTATATGTTCATCACCTATGGGAGTTTAAGGTCTCAGTAATGACCCTGACTTAACAGAATCAATTGTAGTTTCTTTGTTAAAATTAAAAATGACCCCTTCTCCTCATGTTGAAGAGTCAGTTGAAAACGTTCACCCTTTCCCGTAAAATTTTTAATGTAATGGTGGATAAATCCGCTGTAAGAAGCATGGAAGACTACTCCAACAACTGGTCACGCGCACTTTCCTGGTTGACCGATATGAACAGCCTATGTTCACATCCCAATCCAAACCTTCCTGGGGAGTTTTCAACCAATGATACAAGTGTTACTCTATCTTACGACCTCTGAACTCTCTTTTTTTTCTTTTTTGTAGATGCTGTGGATGCATCCCCGCCCGATGATGAGGAACTTGTCTACAGTCAGCCTGAGGATGGTAAACCCAAACCAATTCCAGTGAATGAGTTTCCATCATACTATAAGCAAAAATCAGAAAATGGAGCGATTGTGCTGCGAGATGAATTTAAGGTAAGATATGTAATGCCATAGTTCTTTCAAAACTCAAGGAATCATTTTTTTTCACAGATAAATTATGGGCTCTGCTTAGTAGACAGGGCTAAATCAAAAGTCAATTTGCGTTGGACACCGCCATGTGTTAAACCACAACTCGCGGTTCAAAACGAGACATCTGCTGCCCTGTTTATCGAAAGAAAATCATTAATTTACTTCAGAATAGCTCCAAATTATTCAAAGGGGCGAGAAAAAAAAGATAATTTAGACGTAGGTGTGGCGTAGGTAATCGGCCGGAGTGGAAAGCAGGTTTTTTCAATCGCGTTGTTTCCTAATGAAACTTTAGGCACATTTAAAGACCATTCTGGAAAGGAAAGGCTTTTGTTTGAAATCTCAATACGCAAGCGGTGTTACATGTTCAGACATAACTTTTAATGGTGGATATATAAATGATATGATTTCTGTAGCTTACCTTTCCTCGAACTGTGACTTGTTTTTACGAGCTAACCTATAAAGTGAAAAACAATGTCTAGTCAATACATCGCAATAAGTTCCAATGGAATATTATGTTGGTCATGGAACTCTTGATTATTATCCAGCAATTTTCTGGAGGAATGCAGGCGTCCTGGAATGTTGGCAAGAGTAACAGAGCTAAGAACCGATATGGAAACATAACTACTTGTAAGTAATTCATTTAATTGCTAAGCAGCGTGCATTCATTTTGATTGAGTTCCGTAAACCAAAACCTAAACGAATTAATTACAACAGCCAATTGGATCGAGCAAACTACTTTCAGCGTGGGAAAACCAGAATTGGTTTTTAGTTGAGTGTTTGCAGATGATGTTACCACATTTTGACGTCGTCTGCGATACATTACTTGACAGAGGTACTGCAAAATGTAATCTGTTTGGCTTATGTAATAAAGAAGGCAAAAGTTGTCAATAGTGATTCCATCTACATTGGTAGGTGCATCTGTCGTCTTATAAGTTATTTCAAAGAACCAATTTTTTTTGCATGTATAGTTTAGTTAATCTTAAAATTTGGGGTTTTATCAACTGAGTTGATGATGTAAATTGGCCGCCTTAAAGAGTTTCAAAGCTGACGTTTCGAGCAATACCCCTTCGTCAGAGCGTATGACCAATTTATATTATCTACTCGGTTGATAAAACCAAAATTATCTTGTTATACTCTCCACTGACGTAGCACCACGGTTTCTATAGAAACTTACTCACTTTATGTATAAACCTCAATTGACGATATCTGCTTCGAAAACGAGTCGCCGACACCGACGCAGCACCACAGTTTCTCCAGAAACATACTCACTTTGTATATAAATCTTAATTGACGATATCTGCTTGAAAAACGAGTCGCCGACACCGACGCAACACCACAGTTTCTCTAGAAACTTACTCTCTTCATTAGTAAATTGTAGTTGACGATATCTGCTTCAGAAATGAGTCGCCGACACCGACGCAGCACCAGTTTCTTTAGAAACATACTCACTTTGTATATAAATCTTAATTGACGATATCTGCTTGAAAAACGAGTCGCCGACACCGACGCAACACCACAGTTTCTCTAGAAACTTACTCTCTTCATTAGTAAATTGTAGTTGACGATATCTGCTTCAGAAATGAGTCGCCGACACCGACGCAGCACCAGTTTCTTTAGAAACTTACTCTCTTTATATATAAATCTTAATTGACGATATCTGCTTCAAAAACGAGTCACGAGAGTTCCCTCTCTCGCTTATTTTCTGTCTTACACTCACGACTAACTTTTAACCGTTATAACCGTATTCTTCATTGCCAAGGTCATATTTATCTTCGTTGTTTGACTTCAACTAACTGACATTCTCGTAATTAACACAGGCTAACTCGAGCGTGTAGTTTGCTGTGACAAAGTGCGTATTGAAAGTTTTGAACTCCAGCATATGTGTCTCAGATCCCTATAGCTCCACTCAAAACCCGTTTTAATGAGAGGTTTTTTTCATTAACAGATGATCATTCTCGTGTTGTTTTGGAAAAAATCGAAGGTGATCCAACATCTGACTACATTAACGCTAGTTACATCCCGGTAAGTAGATGCAGAATAAATAATAAAATTCGCGAAACCAAATCCAAAATCAACGCGACGACCAATCAGAGCAAGGGAAAATCTAAAGGAGCCAATCAGAACATGGGAAAAATCTAAAAGAGCCAATAGGAACTCAAAGTCATTATGAGTAAACTACTAAACTACTTAAGCGCGGAAAAACTACTCTAGGAATAGAGAAAGATGTTTTTCGTCTTGTCACGAGCATGACAAGACGTAACTCTACCACTGAGCCGCAGAGACTCAACGGTGAGCGAGGTCTATTATGAAGTTCATATGACAAAATAAGAGAGAAAGACCACGCTCACCGTAGTATCTCTGTGGCTCAGTGGTAGAGCATCGGTGCGCGAAATCCGAAGATGTGAGGTTCGATTCCTCATGGGGAATCAGACTTTTTTCTTTGTCTCACGCTCGTGACAAGATGAAAAATCTCCTTCTCCATTTCTTTTCCGATCTAAAAACTTGCCATCTCTCTCATTTTATTTATTCTAGGAATAATAGTTTTCAATTTAACATCTGATTGTGTCAGAAAACGATGCCAATGTTTTTGGCCAATCACAGCGCGTACTTAGGGAAAGTCCTAAAAACAAACCCGATGCAGTTCCGGATTCTTTAAAACTCTTTTTGTTACCATTTTTCAAATGGCAATAAAGAGAAGCATTTCACTAAGGAAAGCCTACCATAAAAGAGATGTGTCTTTTTTAATCCGCCACTAATTTTCATTCTTGCGTTCAATTTCCTTTCCTAAGACATATGACGAGAAAACAATGTGTTACATCGCCACACAAGGTAATCATTTTTATTCAAGAAACTATAAGGACTTTGTATCAAGCTGTACCATTTTGTCCATGGTTGTTTTGTGAAGATTTCTTTTTGCTGGCCAAGCTCATTAACACATCTAAAGAAACGTGTCTGCCTATCTAATCTGATTCTAAAAAAATACTCCTTTAGGTCCAAATAATGTGACAGTGAATGATTTCTGGCGAATGATTTGGCAAGAAAATTGTTCTACCATCGTGATGCTGACAAACCTGGTCGAACTGGGGAAGGTATGCCAATTTTGCGTTTTCCAACTTTTCAAGATCTTGCTTGAGTTTTCTAAACCCAATTGACACCTATCCTGGAAACGCTGCACGCAAACTCTTTACGTTACTTTAGCTGCGCCAAATTCTGATTAGTAGCAATTCTGTTTGTTCGCGGTGATGTGGCAAGAAAGTGGTCGCGAACTTGAAATTTTATTACGACGCTGGTCTTAGTCATGCTAAATTTTGATGTCTGTTTATAGAGGGGGGCCTCTAACTTGCCTTTCTGAGACTTTTTCCATCCCTGTGACGTAAAAAGTCTATAAATGAATAAACAATCATTTTTTTGTGTTCACGCATGTCGAAATGGCGAGGGTACACGTGCTCAGGAGTGAAAAAAGATCGTTACACACTCAACCAACACTCATAAAGGTCATGGGTTCGAAATTTCACTTCTCTACCGAGATGTCACGTAATGCTTTCTCCCGTCCCAACATTTTTTTTTTGGGGGGGGGGGGGGTGGCGGGAAGGGGCGTGGGATGGGAGAACATTAGTTCGATTAGCGCATGTATTATGAAAGCACCGCAATGTATTACTTTTCAGACCAAGTGTGAGCAATATTGGCCAGAGAGTAATTCTAAGCTTGGAGCCATTACAGTTACTCTACACAAGACTGCAGTGTTTGCCGATTACATTATTCGGACATTTCTACTTGTCAAGGTAAGAAGACTTACAGATACTTTGCTCTGCATTTTATGATTTATCTTCTCTATTTTAACTAATTTACGAACAACGCGTCGGCAGATACTTTTCTTAGTTACTGTTGTTAATTCTTCACTTTTCAACATACATTGAAGATAGCAGACGCATCTGCCGAAACATGTTTATTACACTAGCTTAGAGTGTCATGTTCGTATTTAAATGTCCACAATCACAGCTGTTATCCAAACACTTGAGTTTGATTTTCAGGACTCAGAGAAACGTGAGGTACAGCAGTATCATTATCTTACTTGGCCAGATCGAGGTGTTCCTGCACGTTCTTCAGCTTTGCTTGGATTTAGATATAAGATTCATACTCGACACCAGGCCACTGGTGGACCACTTGTTGTGCATTGCAGGTAGATAGCTAAAGGTTGTTACTTCTTAAATGGCGTTATCCCATGCCCCAAGTTCAGTTCTTGTTGGAAATTTTGCAATTAAGCTTTTGCCGAGTAATCTATGATTAGTAATGCAGAGTCGTAAGACAAGAGATGACGCTCAGCTGTAGTCGGCGAAGAAAACGAAGATGAAGAAACAGCTAAACTTTTCCTTTTTCCGTGCCTTTTTGTGAAATAATGCAAGTAGGTATTATGGTACCCCCTTCACTGGATTTATCTGACTTGATTCCTTCTTTTATCCTAAGAAATGGCTGGAAAAAATGGACCGTTCCTGTCTCCGGGGCGGATCCAGAAATTTTTGAGCGGAGGGGGTCTAAAGTTTTATTCAGAAAATACAGATATGTTTACACACTAGAGCCTAAATAAGCCAAAAATATATCAAGGCTAGTAGATATTCAATACTACCTTCCCCGTCTAGCGGAATTGTGGCAGCCTTCGTTCGGACCACAAACCCTGCCCTTTACTTTAATCCGTCTTTTTTTCTGCGTACCCCTATAACTTTCAAGGGGAGGGAGGCATTAAGGCTGCCCTTAGATCTTCGTTCTAAATTCTTACAAAGCATCTCCTCTTTATATTTAGTGCTGGTGTTGGTCGAACTGGTACGTACATTGCCATTGATGCCATGTTGGAGGGTGCCAAGAAGATTAAAACTGTGTTCATTAGTAATTATGTGCAAGTGATGCGTAGATCCCGTCCTCATATGGTTCAAAAAGACGTAAGTATCGGAGACCAGATTTGATGAATTATATTGCGTATAGGTACGTAAAATGGTTATTCATGGGTTAACGACTTTGTGTTTCTTTGTAGGATCAGTATGTCTTTTTGCATCAGGCTGTGGTGGAAGCGTTGACCTGTGGGAATACAGAGATTGCTCCTCAGGACTTACGAATATCGATTAACAAACTATCTAGAGCTGCTTCACCTTCTAAAAACACTGGTTTTGGCGCGGAGTTTAAGGTAAACGGAGACTATCTTACATTTCACTTAAACACAATGATCTCTCAGTGAAATCCTGATCTGAAGACTTGAGTTTTTCATCATTTTTACATGGAGTAACATTAGCAGCACTTTTACAACGAAAGTGTTACATGCTATCGCTTTTGTGTCACGTGAAGTTCACTCTTGTTACATGATGGAATTCAATTTGCATTTCTTGAGAACTTCTCATGTATTGGTTTTTAAGAAAATGCCTGTTTATTGAGAGTTGACTGATAAGGGAGAGGTTCCTTTATTTGTTATTTCACATATGATGCCAAGAGAAAATAATGTTCTTTCGACAATAATACAGCAGTAAACATTGTTTGTGTTTTAGCGTCTGCAATTTGTCACTGACTGTTTGTCTTCTGAAGAAGAAACAACAACAGCCTCTCAACCTTCGAACATCGACAAGAACAGGTTTCCCAATATTCTTCCGTGTAAGTGGTGTCTTGTTTAGCAATCTTTATAATATTAAATTTCCTGTATAACCATAATTAATATAGTTCTTAAGTCAGGTATAAAATTAATTTAAAAGCGTTGCCCATTGCAATCCAAAAGTCACGGTCAGGAGTTGATAGTGCTTGTTGCTTGGTCTATTTTCCTCTTTTTTAAAAAAAAAAAAAAAGGAAGGTCGTTTATCTATTAAGTATGGTTGCGGTTTGTTTTTTATTCGCCAGTGGATACTGCTCGAGTCCGCTTGATGTCCACTCAACCAGACCAAGATTACATCAATGCTTCGTTTGTTGATGTAAGTATATCAGTTATATTTCAGTCCAGTCAATCAGTTTAGAAAACACGTGCCACCCTATTAACAAATCAAATTTATTCTTTTCTGGTTTGCTGTTGTGAATAGTCTGATTTTGGTTCACTAAACTAAAAAGCGCTGTTTCTGACACTTAATTGAGAGCCATAGTTTAGCATTGGAAATGTTACATTAAGGTTAATAAGACATATTTGTCGTTTAATAAGGGCGTTTACAAAAGTTACGAGACAAGTGTACCCTCTAGTTTCCTAGAAATCTAGCTGGAGATTCAATTTATTAACTAAAATTACTATAGAAAGGGTTTCAAAACTTTAAAACTTAGATTCTTGTGGGGTTCGTGCCGTGATGTAAACGCGGATAGGTTCTAGAACTAATCCTTCCTAGATCTTGATCTCGTTTCGTCCGTTACCAGGACTACAAGGAACGTAACGCTTACATCCTGACTCAAGCTCCATTAGACAACACTATAGGAGATTTCTGGCGGATGATATCACAGTATAACATTGGTACAGTTGTGATGTTGAATAACTTGAAGGAAGGAAAACAGGTATTTCATCTATAATTCTAACAGAAGAGCAACTTCTTTCAATAAGCAGTTTAGTAATCTCTAAAGATATCCGATGAATCTTCAAGAATAATATTATAAAAACGAGTACACGTGTTTTGGACTCCGTCTTGCATTGTTGCTCCAAAAGGAAACTGTAAGCAACGAAAGTTGTTACAGAAAAGGGTAATTTAGTATTATCAACTGGATTGATAACGTAAATTGACCGTAAAGAGTTTCATTCGCTCTGACGAAGGGCTAACGCTCGAAACGTCAGCTTTGAAACTCTTTACAGAGGCCAATTTACGTTGTCAACTCAGTTGATAAAACCAAATTTCCCTGTTATAGTCTCCCACCGACGCAGCACCACAGTTTCTTTAAAAACTCCCTATTTATTCATTTGTAACCAAATAGAGGTGCAGTTAAACACCAGAGAGCGATTCTTTCTGCAAGAGAAATTAAGGTTACAAACTATTTCACATGTCTTCGTTGGTGGAATGAACGACCTGACAGTTACTGCATTTCTTTTGTTTTATCTTTCGTAGAACTACCCACAATATTGGCCGGGTCTAGGATCAGCCAGGCATGGAGCCATCACTGTACAACTTTTGTCGGAAAATACCTCAAACAACATCACCTCAAGACGATTTAGTATAATAAATAATGAGGTGAGACTCATCTAGGAGTGTTATACTGCTTTGATGATGTTAAGATTTAGCGTTGGACGAAAGTATCTCTGTGACTTTATCCATTGTCGATATACGTAGAAGTCAAGATCATGTTCTTGAAATGATAATTTTTTTTGCTAATAATGATTATGACGATGATGATAATGACAATATATCTAAATAGTGATTCAGAGGTGATCACACATAATTGAGATATCGCGATGTGTAACTTCCATGATACGTAATTGAGCTATCTTGTTGTGTAACTTCCATGCTTGGCTTAGATCAAGTTGAATTTATGATAACATTTTAGTTATGATAATGACATTTATGATATTGATGCTGACGACGGTTCATGATATATGCAATATAGAGTGATCACTTGTGAATGAGCTGTACTTGAAATAGCTTTAGGACTGTTTCAAGTCACAGCTTTTAAGTACAATTCAACTTCCTTCCTCAGCCTCCCCAGAAGACAACAACTGTACAGCATATCAACTTTACAGGGTGGGTCAACGGAGACTCGTGCCCAGACTCCAAGGAAATAATCGACCTATTGACCGCTGTGCAACAGTCTCAGCAACAATCAGGAAATGGCGCCATAGTTTTCCAGTGCAGGTAAAAGGAAGATTTTAAGTCTACCACTATCTGTTAGTGTCTGCATCATTGTGCAGAGTACAAATTGAAACTATCACTTTACGTCTTTGGAAGGTCACTTGAGAACAGGTGATGGATTTTGGATTGATTTGGAAGGAACGTAATGAAACTATCATGAGCGACTTTAGTGCGCTAATTCCTTGATCTCTTGATCACAACTGTTCTGGATTTGGAATTACATTTTGAACATGTTAATTAGTGGAAAAGTCTTGCTCATTTTCATTTCGTCCAGGGTGCAGAGTAAGTATCCATGATGGAGACGTCATTGTATCTGATTAAAGTTGTTTTCATCGAGCGGGGTTCAATTTTCAATTTCCATGTAAAATTCTTCTTATATTTGATAATAACGCAATGGTAATGTTACTACTTTTGTAGTGATGGTATTGGTCGCAGCGGCTGTGTAGCTTCCATAATGTCAGTGATCGAACGAGTCAAGATTGAACAAACAGTTGATGTTTTCCAAACCATTAAACTGATTCGGGCTAAAAGGCCTGGTGCTGTGAACACTCTGGTAAGATTAGCACCATTTTTGTTCACATTTTATCTTTATAAAGGGATGATATAAGGGCAAAATCTTACTTGTTGGCCTGGGTGTAACTTATTTTTATTACTACGTTGTAGACCAGTTGAATCACTGTCTACATTTTTTTGGCTTTCGTTTGTAATCGTGGGAACGGGTACAATTTTAACCACAAAGTTTTTGTTACGTTGATCAACATACAAGAATCAAGAAATTTGGAAAAATATGAGATGTTATTTTTTATACATAAATACTATACACAATGAACTCTCTCTTTCTATCTCTCTTTCTCTCTCTTGAAAACATCGTCCCTAGAACGTCCGTTCCCTGGACTAAATTTTAAGCGCGTGCTGTATTTTCACCGTGAAGAAATTTTTAGTGAATTCGTTTGTGGATGATATCATGTATGGAGAGTATGGATGTCTATGAAACAGTATTTTCATTGCGGACGTAAACTGCACTGGACCTTCAACTTTTAAATTTTGTACTCTATGAACAGCGTTTCCCAATCCCGTACTCTATTTTATTTCTTTTTATTTAATTTTATTTTTCAGGATCGTTATGTTTTCTGTTACAAGACAATTTTAGCCTACCTGGATTCTTTTAACGCCTACTCAAACTTTGCAGATTGTTGAAGCGTCAACTTGAAATAGTTGTTAGTAGTAAATTGCTGCTCGATACAAATGATAGTTACAATTTACATAGCGCTTCTTGTAAGCCCCTAAGTGCTTTATAATATGAAAGAGATAAATATTTAACCTACTTTCTACAATATAGCATATTTCATAGATCTCTACAGTTAAACTTAAAAAAAGAAAAACTCTAGAAAATTGCAAAAAATTGCGAAAGTTTTTAAGTTTGCAAAAAGCTATCCTATGTAAAGGAGTTTTCAGGTTCTATTTAACCCTTTAACTCCCATGAGTGACCAAGACAGAATTTCTCCTTACAATATCAGTACAATATCAGTACAATATCAGTACAATATCAGTACAATATCAGTACAATATTAGGCTGACAAGTGATGAGAATAAAGAAAAATACCAAACAGGGGATTATAAGTTGATCCAATACCAAATTCTCCAAAGCAACATCACAAGAACTGTAGAGCAGACAGTAAGGAGAGTTAGTAATGAGATCTCGGGAGTTAAAGGGTTAGGGAGGGTCTCAATGGGGTTAACTATTAGCCTTAAGCGCAGGGATTAGGAAGGCCGTGCGCCATGCGCGTATGGCGCATAAAGCTACGAAATGTCCCATTATAAAAATACTTACCGGGCCTGTGATACGCCCTGACCGCACAAAGCTAGTGAAATACAAACTATTTTGTGAAAAGGATTGCAATTTGTAAAAGTTTCACTTTGGTGAGACATAAACAAGCGAAAAACTACGGTGCCTTCGCTCGTTTGATCACGCTCGCTTTATTCTTGTTCCCAGATTCTGAACTCGGACTTTGCATGCAAACGAGGCTATTGCTCGGAGTTCGATGTGCTTTCGTTTTCGAGCAGAGTTCGAGCGTTTTCGTCGCTTTGAATGTATTTGCATCGATTAGCCTCATGCCTCCGAAAAAAATCTTGAGATTGGACAGCTTGCAGAGAACGTTGTCTACATTTTTCAACACAACAGCGGAGCAGAATCGTGATACTGTGAGCGAAAACGACCGTGAAACGGACGAAACAGATATAGGTATAGACTGTAATACACAAGCAATAAACCTTTGTTAAAATTTTTACTGGCCCATTTATTTACCCTAATGGCCCAAACGTTTTATAAATGGCCCATAACTTTCCAATGATAGGGGTCATAGGCTCATTTGCCTGTTAAACCCTCCTAATCCCTGTAAGCGGTATTTAATGTTAACCATAAAAAATTTTTGCTGTCTGCAATGTGTCATTTTATTTCATTTTGTGTTAACCGTCGCCGTAAAATGGCTAAACTTTTTAAGCATTAGACGTAAAAGCCATCACCCCAATGAGGCCCTATTCAAATTCATTCAAGGATCGTACAGCAGTAGTGGTCGTTATTGTGCGGCGGCATCGCTACGATGGTTAAATGGTCAGTAAAAGCAGTAGTTAGTTACCTAGTTCGTCAGTCTGAGTGAATCGGTCAGTTGAGCGGTCTGTGAGTGTGTTGGTCGAACTGTCGGTCGGTCAGCAAGGTAGTCAGTTAACAAGTCCGTCGTGGTGAGCCGGTCGGACTATTGAATGGGTTAGTTACTTAGTTCAGTGGTCAGTCTGAATGAATCGGTTAGTTGAGCGGTCTGTTAGTCATCAGTTAATCGGATGTACAATCAACTTGTTTGTAAGTCAGTTATCTTGCACAGCAGTTGAGGATAAATTTATTAAGTTTGAATTCCTTTCTTATCAAAAAGTACTGAAACATTTATTGTAACCCAAAATTGCAAAATGAACATCGAAGTAAGTCAGAACGTGCGAACTCAGCTCAAGAATTGCTGGCAAATAACCAAGCATTCTGAAAATTTTGATCTCTTTTGTACGTTGTTAAAAAGATAATATTTTTTTATAATGTTTTTCAATTCAATGCAGACGTATAGCCACATAGTCAAACTACTTGTATACTTAACACACAAATTATAGATTTTTAAAAAAAAAAAAAACAACTGCAAAGAAAAGCTAGTTGTGTGTGTTGCTGGCTATATGTTACATATTTAGGTTAAACTGTGGACAAAATTCAAGTCAAATTTTACTCTAGGTTACATTTTTTTCTTAAGGAAAAATTATCTATGAAACTATTTGAGGAGATAGATATTTATAACACAGATAGAGTCCACGATAAGATACGACAAAAGCTCGTTATGTTTAACAGTAATTGATGAATGGAAAAGCATGTCTAAAAGTATATTTTATAAAAAAGCTATTACATAAACAGCTTAATATCTACAGTATTACTTTAGGGCCAACCGAAGCTAATAAATGGATATTAGAAGGTAAATCTGTATTCCCTGAATTAGCAGGATCGTAGAGGAATTATATAAATTAGTGCTTATTTAATGTAATTTTTTTAATTAAAGAGATTTGGTTCCGAACCCGTGACTTGATCCGTCATATTTAGGTTTTCTCTAGGTCTCCTCTCCTTGTTGAGGGTAACGGGTTTTAAAGTAATATCTTCATCTTTTTTCATACCTTTGAATAGCCTAACATCCGACCTTTGTTCCTTAATCTATTCTTTTATTAACAATCTAATCTTGACTTTGTTTCTCGAAGCATAATAAAGCTGAAACCCTGACTTGCTCCCAGTCGTCTTTCTCTCACCTCTTTCTCCGCACACCGCGCACCTTTTTTAGACGATTGGGGACGATTCGGACAAGCCAAAAAGTTGAATGAAAATTTGTGAGTAAGAAACCCAACCTTGCCAAAATAACAACATTCTTCACCCCGTGCGATACATGGATTTAGCGAGCTCTTGCTTGTTAATAAGGACGCAGCTTTTATGAACAGTCGTCTTCCGCCAATAAATGATAAAATACGGGCAAAAAATACATTTAAATATTTGCACGACTTGCTGGTGTATCTGGGCTTAACTCTTGTTTTTAATAATTTCCGTCGATTGTTCAAGATCAAATTTTTAATGTTCTTTTTGAAGGTTACGTAACTTGTTGTGACTTTTCATCTGTCATGCACGGTTTTCATCAATAATGAAGTGTAGCGCGTCGCAAAAATGTGTGAAAATGAGTTGCAAATTGGGTTTGTTCGCCCATCACAGTTCCCTTTGACCCCGCTGATGATTTTTTTTGTGATCGTTGCAGCAGAATATGGTGCATTGTAGGCTAAAATCTTCAAAATCTAACAGGAAATGTGATTGATCTACGGAAATGGCTTATCCATTCTAGTCATTTCCTTCGCAGCATTCATCTCTAATCAAAGAACTAATTCGGGAAATTTGATTGTGATGACCCGTGAAATATGCGAGAAAGATCATACCGCAGAGTGCGTGTTGTGTTACAAAAATCCTTTCCGCAGGGCAGTAGGTTATCTAAGATCGTACGTTTTAAACTTACATCCTGGCTAAGTTACAGAAAATAGAGTGAAAATTCAGGGCTAATCAGCAATAATTCAGCTTCTGAAACGGCTTGGATTACTACAAATTACAGAATAAAGCTCGTTATAATTCTTTCCGACCGGAAAAAGCGACGCTCTTGTAACATTAAAACAACAGCCCTGTACAAGCTCGCGCATCATTTGTTATCATTTATGTGCGACATGACTTTCTGTCAGCTGGATAAATGTTTTGTATTCTGCTGTTTGGGGGGAAAAATAAACTTTGTACACATGTCAAACAACAGAAGCATGGGTATTATTGACAATTCACCCAAACAACTCGAAAACAAATACAATTGTGTTATGATTTCCGACATTGAAGTAATTTTTGTCAACGAAATTCAATTTGCGTTATCGAAGACTGCTGTTGTGTTAAGATTCAAAGATAGTGGGGCATAGTCGCAAGATATCATGGCCACACCTGTTTTCTTATCAGTGTGAGACACTAATTGATTCCTTGTGACGAGCAAGATCATTGTTTCTGTTATTTTTAGGGATTCCTGTGTCAGTTCCTTGGACTGATAACGTTGAGTATCCCCCTCAATACCCGTGTTTTGCTCTCGTTCAGTCGCGGGGTGGACATTAATTGATTTTTTCAGACGAGAGTGATAATTAAGTCCTTGAAGCTGCTGTCCTTGTCAAGTTTTTTGCGGCAGTTTTCAGCTGATAAGATAGGGTCTAAAATGACACGATGTGTTTTCGCTCAATGACCAGCCGACAGTAATTAATTTCTCTCAAAGAGTTAGATTTTTATCTCCGATTAGAACTTCAAGTCTGGAAAATTTAGTGGACACCCACCTAAAAGTCTTTCTCTTTAGACAAAACAGGGTGAAATGCTTATCATTCGGTTTAGCCTACGGATCCATATCTTTCAGCAACAAAAATAAAACAGGGCAAAAACGTGCATACTGTTTCTCTGGCCTTCGAAAAATTTGGCGATCTCATGAGCTATGTTAAAAGGATGATCTTAAACTCTCCGTAGATTAATTTCTCTTTCTCTACCGCGATTATCTTAATACAATATATAAAAAACTAATCTTCCATTGTACATCTTGTTAGTTCTAAGGTTATTCGTACTGAATATCCTTTTTTTTTTTTGGCTTTCTTCATGTTAAAAGGAAACTAAAGAAGAGTTTTTAAGTTTAAGGAGTTTTGGGCTGAGACTGAAAATGTTCCAAATGAAAAGAAGAAGAAGATGACGAAATAACACATCGAGAGTTTTTATTTTATATATTTCCCAAAGTTCTTAGTGCTGAATTTTATTGTATGTTATTTCATAAAAAAATTAGACTGAAAGAGATTCGCCCAGGACTGGGCTACAGAAGTAGGATGTTACTCATATTTTTTTCTTTTTTTTTTCCCTAAGAGAGAGAAAAGCCAGTTGAGCCAAAACAGGCTGTAACGAGTTAGATCCCTAACATCAAAGCTCCATGCCGCAATTGAGTGGTTAAAAAACCGCAAATACCAAAGATTAACGAAGAGAGAAATCAAAACAGTAAAGCGTCTCTCAAACTGCTTTAAACAGATATATCCTGTCATGTCAGAATGCTCTCGAGGCTTGGTTCACTAGGAGAATACAGTGGACTCGTTAACAAGCTTTGAGGTGTTTGCTATCATCTCAAGCAGAGCGCGTTGTCTTTTTCTTGTGGAGCTCAGGTACTGCTGCCTCCTGCCTGGAGACTTGATGAGATAGCAAAAGAACAGCAGCGTGTGTTTATAAACAATCGCGTGGTTAGTTAATTTACAGCGGTAAAAGGCACTCTCACCAGTTAACTGTAAGCTGATAGTCTAATTGTGGTGTCATATACCACCTAATTGGAAACTCAACTCTAAACAGAGCTGCAGTTGACACAAGGCATGTTGATCAAACTCATTGCACTACAGGAAAAAATTAATCCGTGAATTGCTCTTGACCTGGGAAAAGGAACTGGGCATCTGAGAACTGGTATCCTCAACAGGTTTCCTCTGTGCTGAAACGTTTAGGATAGTGCTACTGACGCATGGCTTGTGTACAAGTCTTCGCATGATGTGATGCTCGATATTGGTGCGTGTTCTGACAGTTGTAAGGATTGCGCGCAGGTAGGCATCGAAGTCAATCCCTGAAGACAAGATTCAAGGAAGATGTACCGTTTTTGGCTTATCCTTCACATGCTGTGGATTACAGTGGCTGTGAATGGTAAGTGAGAACATAGTGCGTTCATTACTGCTTCCGCTGCTAGCTTGCAAACAGGAGCGTTATGCGTTAAATAACCACTTTACGGTTGTACAGTAGGGAATATAACTTGTACATGGGACTTTGCCTCTGACGTGATGATTCTACAATCTAATAATATCAAACGTCTCTTCAAAAAAATTAATTAACGTCAAACCATTCTCGCAATCAGGGCAGAAGTTTATTCTACACGTTTTCTTATCTTCATACAACCGGCGGTGTTTTTTTCCTCACCAAACCAATTAAACGTATTTAACTGGAGCAATTTGGCCGTTGGATTGTCTAAACAGCTTTGTTCATAACACCATACCCAGGAAAAGAAAAGAACAGCTTATCCCTAGTAATAATAGTGTGAAGCATCAGGTTTCTCAGCCACAAGCCAACCGTTCTTAGCGTAATCACGAAGGAATTTGCGAATGTCACTTCAAATTCTACAGCTTTCATTTTTTACTTGTTGTTTTTAGATTTCAACAAAAACTTTCCATTATCCCGATTTAGTGAGTGTTACAAACCCTTCAGTAATGTTTATCTTTCCGTTTCAATCTTTCCAATTGTCTTTAGTTCTTGCTTTCAAAGTAAACATCTGTTGTTTCGTCTGTTAGTTTAATCATTAGCCGATCGTTAGGAAAAAGCAAATATAATATTTCTTTCAGAGCACGTTTGGCGATCTGATTGTTTGGTTTATGCCCACATGGTTTACGTTGCTTGCATTTTGACATTCGCTGGGGTGTATTGCTTTACAATTTCAAGTATGAAGGCAGAGGAAATATTTGCCCCTTTCACCCTTTACATCCTAACATTAATATGCTCATTCTCCGTACTATTATCTAAACATTTCTTAGGGAAACGAAAGAGAGAATTTGTGTGATGATCAAGAGCTTTTTAAATCGGCGATCATTCTCCTTTTTTTTACATCCTCAATGATTAATTTAGGGATACTACTGTGAGGAGAAATTTGATTCTAGTCACTCTTAGGAATAAAATGGTTGATCTCACATCTTAAGAAAAATGTAGGTCAACTTGTTCTATAAACCTAAATCTTATTAGGAAAAAAAAACTGTGAAAAGCCTCCGTCAACAATTTTTTGAGTAGTTATACGCTAGTTTGATTTAAAAATAACTTTTGAATAAGTTTCGCATATCAGCAATGACGTTAGTTGAATTTTGGTATAAAGGGTACGGAAAACATCAGTGTAGCAGTTCTAAAGGTCCTAACAGTCTTAATTAAGGTGTGTTCGATTGGGATAGGTTGGGGGATTAAGGAAGATCTTGTCACGCAACACCATCTCTTAAAGCGTTGCGTGACAATACTAAGCGAGTGTACTACTTTGTGTAGTTTGACTGTGTTTGTTCCTGGGGGCGAAGAATCCCTATAAAACCCCAATCCAAGGGAGATTGACGTTATCTGAAAGTAATTCAGCCGAAGGGCTACCGAGCGCAAAAGTTCCTTATCATTTTCTGGTAAATTCAGGAAACTCGCAGCGGGTCGACTTTGTATTGTAACTGAGTGACGAGTAACAGGCTGGTTTCACGTGCGCACGAAAATTCTCTAACACTCGCTGAGGCGGCCAGATTAGCGTCTTAAGATCTCGACGATTATCTTGTTTGACCAGGAACGCTGAGAATTCGGTGGTAGTTTTGAAAATCGCAGCGAAGGAGATGAGATGTCATTAATCAGAAACGGGGTCAAGTTCTAACTCCCAAGATCTCATTAGTAATTCTCCGTACTGTCTTCCATTCAGTTCTTGTGATGTTAGTTTGGAGAGTTTGGTATTGG